GGCTTACTGGTAACTCGGTTTGTTTCGTATAAATCAAGGTGTATTCTGTTTGTGTTTTGTTTGTATATTTATTTATCTTTATCGTTACCATAGTCAAATCTATTTTGACTACAAGGGCGGTGGGGTAGCCAAGTGGTTAAAGCGTTCGTCACGCCGAAGACCCGGGTTCGATTTCCCACATCGGTACAATGTGTGAAGCTCATTTATGGTGTTCCCGGCCGTGGTAAGTGTTCATATTGGTAAGACTTCCGCCCGTATCCCCCCTAGATTTTAACGATAAAGAAACATGTCTTTGAGTGGCATTTCTAGAAGTTGAATGTGTCTTTCAGTTTAGATACAATTAAAGAAACATGTTAAAACTCATCCTTATCCAGATGAAGAATATATATTCAGGTGATATGATTTTACAAGAATGAAATTTAAGGGGGAATATGGGCGGAAGTCTTTCCCATGTTGACCCCACATTTCATTGTATTTTTGACCAATTATTTCACCAGGGCACGGCACGACAGAACATCACATGCCTCCTCTCACTTCAACACCTCAACACGCCACTTTACACTACACACCGACAAGGTGATATTTATACCAGTTATGTCATACTCCACTCTATGCCCATAACACAATGCCTCGACTCCATTAACTCCAGCGATCAGAGAGTCTATGACTCAATACTCTCGCCACTCAGCCGTCTCGGTTCAGTGTGTGGTATTCATACTAGCCACGAACACAATGTTTAACTCCGGATTACTTTCTCCATTCGCTCGACTGTTATATAATGGAGGACGGGTTTTACCTTTGTCTCAGAGACACAACGCACGAGTACAATGTGTTTCACCTCGCTGCCCCCGTGAAGGTCCGGGTAAAAATTGATCTTCAGTAACCCATGTTTGTCATAAGAGGCGACTAACGGGGTCGGGTGGTCAGACTCGCTGACTTAGTTGACACATGTCATCGTATCCCAATTGCGTAGATCGATGCTCATGCTGTTGATCACGGGATTGTATGGTCCAGACTGGATTATTTACAGACCGCCGCCATATAGCTGGAATATTGCTGAGTGCGGCGTAAAACTAAACTCACTCTTCTCGCTGCATTCAAAGATTGAGAAAATGTTGATAATATACTCTACTGTCTTGTAATGCCCAATCATTAATAAATAGTATTAGATACACAAACAATTATTTGCTGTTATTTTAGTTACGACTTGGGAAAAAATGTCCCGGAAATGCTACAAAAACTTGCTTCGGGTTTTATTAAAAAGTAGCTCGATCACAGAACATAAATCTGCTCTGAAAGAACATTATAGAAGTATATTTATCTTGGTATGATACACCGATTTTAATAATAATGCGTAGTTCCAAAGAAAGTACGTACATGAAACTTGCATTTGAAAGAAAACATTTCAAACGTTATCAAGACGCTACCAAGTTAAAAACAATCGCCGAAACACTTTAAAATCGAATCAAATTCACAATATATCACACACACAAATACGCTTCACAGTTTTGAAACATGCGGGATATTTCATGCTGCTTTATAACCAACAAACTCTATGTTTTAAAGATCTAACAAAGTCCCACCAACCAAATCCCCCAACCCCGCCCTCAAGATGTTGGTTGTATTTCATGTTTCTTACAGTCAGTGATGAGCTTGTTTGATCTCAGTAACCAGGGTATGGGATTCCACAATACACCTCACACCTCGCCATACGTTCACGCGTCATACTCTATTCTTGACACGGACACAGCTGAAATGGGAGTTCGGTCCAGGAAGTCACATGTCAGTACAATAAGCAATGACACATACTTGGAGTACAAACATGATACAGTTATGAAATATCCTGCCTTACTAGCAAAGGACTAATTATATCCTATTTACAGGTTCTTTTTGTTTCCATTATGTTTGGCAGTACGTAGTAACGCGTATAGGTCAAAATGAGAGTGCTATAGCTGAGTCCGGCCTTAACGACAAACAAACTAAAACGTCTGTTGTGCCCTTAAACGCACAATGGTCTTAAGTGCACAGAAATCATAAATAAACATGAGTGGGCGGAGCTTATGTGACCACGTCATACGTGTTTCGTACGCACTACTTCTCTCTTGAACACGGAAGTGTCTTTACTTCTGCTGAGTCGTGTAAAGTTGAATAGCGTGTAATTAGAGTGCATTTTCCCCTACAACATAACAAAAACAGCATTTCCTTCCATACTACCATTTATAAATATTAAAGAAAATATAGCAATATTCAAATGTTTGTTAAAAGTTCGATCGAAAATTTGCAAGGGACCGTTCATAATGTATAGCTGGGCTGGGATCGAGTGATGATGAGTTTTATGGAGAAGCACGTACAATGTGAATAACAGTCCCACCCCACACCTCTTCCTTCATGAAAACACACCAAGTGCATGTATACAAAATTGATGACACCCCTCCTCTCTCTCTCTCTCTCTCTCTCTCTCTCTCTCTCTCTCTCTCTCAGGTATGTATCATTGTCTCAAAGAGTTTGACAGAGGAAGGGATTGTTATGTGTCACCCACATTCTAAATGATTGTTGATCAATCTGTCAAGTCATAATTGCACTTTACTTTAATCAATCAGTACATTCATAAACTGTAGAATAAATAAAATATAATACATCTTCGTCATGACAAAGCCTGTTTTGTTACCACTATGCACACAGGGTGAGTGTGTAACTTTAGAAAATTTGAGAGAGTGAGATTGTGACATTTGAGGTGGGGTGGGGGTAGCCTAGTGGTTAAAGTGTTCTCTCGTCATGCCAAAGGCCGGTTCGATTCCCCACATCGGTACAATGTTTCAAGTCCATTTCTGGTGTCTTCCGCCATAATATTGGAATATTTCTAAAAGTGGTCTAAACCCATACTCAGTCTTTTAGCAGGGTGGAGGGTTGTCTGCAGGTCTTCCCTGAATTTGGTGTTTGGTAATCAATTCTTGGGTTATGTGCCATGTTCTTTATCAATAAGGCCAGACTATTGTATTTCTTGTTTTACATATTTTTGTCCTCAGAAGAATTTCTTGTAAGTTTACATTTTTGACCAATAAAAAACATTAGGATTTTATTTTTTGAGCAGGGAAAATTCACTTTTATTTCTTTTCGTATTCTGGAAAAAATACAACTGGAGGATACGTAAAACAAGAAATAGAATTGGTCTGGTCTAAATTTGAAATATAGGTGTGCTTATACAGCATGCATGAGAAGCAATGTATACAGGACACCTTTAGCACAGTTTACTAAAGGTAAAAGATGCAAATGTGTTATGTGATTTTTAAGATATCAGAAGTTTAAACATTTTGGACATCTTTGAAATAGTGTGAAATGAGAGATAGTTGGTTATGATGCCTCTATCAGTATCATACCAGTCACATCCCAATCAAGGACATCAACTTTATATATTTGCATTGGGGTAGGGAGTCAAACCAATGCCTGTGGCGTCACATAAGTTTATGCAGCTGAACATAGACAAGCATGTGCAAGGTGAACATGTCACAGTGGAAATTTTCTGTCCAAGTATAGACATCCATCAAATCCTGCATGGTGTTAGTTGTTTGTGTATTCACAAATGTTGTAGAGCATCAGCTGAGCAGATAAAAACTGACCATTGTCAGATTTCCCCATAAAATGACAAAAAGAAATGAGTTTTGTTAAAGATGTTTTATTGCTAAAATACAGAGCAGCCTGTCTTGAAATGGGACAGGCAAGAAGAATACTATGAAATGTAATTATATGTAGTACCGAACTCATTAAGTTGGTTCACACACATATCTTTATGTCTGTTGAAAAGACTCTTACAAACAATTGAAGTAATGCCATTGGCTCACCAACGTGAAATGTGTAAATACGTGGAGGTTACATGTATATGGCATTGAACATTACACCCATCATATTTGTGAAAATATAAACTAGTAAACAAACCAAGGTAACTATTTGAAAATATTTTCATAAACAGAAGCATCCCCTACACCCCATTCCTTAAAAGTATTTTCAAGTGTTACAAGAATAATTTCAAACCATACAACTGATTAAAATCCAACAATAACCAAGTCTATGATATAAATACAAGTATTACAGTCACATTTCACAAAATGTTCGCTCATCACCCAGAAGACCCTGTTTTGATTCCCCACATGGGTACAGCCCATTTCTGGTGTCCCCCGTCGTGATATTGCTGGAATATTGCTAAAAGTGGTGTAAAACCATACTCACTCACAATCACCTCAAATGTCACCTTGAATGTTGACATAGCACTAACATTAAACATGGCAGTAATTATAACCAGACATGAAAATAAGGAATACCTTGCATCATATATGAGTAATAATAAGTGAAACATGTTTTACAGCTACATGAACACTGACATCAACTTTAATGATCATGACCAAAACCTTCAAAGAACAGGGTATCCATTTGAAAGAAGAAGGCACATGTCATGTTTAATTATGCATGTGTGAATTCCTTCTTAGAACCTGTGTTGTCTTGTGACATGAACATTTTACCAAAACAATTCCCCGGGACTAATGAAGAATAATCTCATTAATCTTTGTGTTGTAGTCATTACGGAAACAACACTGTTTCACTGGGCTGCACATCTTGTTTATAAATTATTACCTTTATCAAATGATTTGGTATGAACTCATGATAGGTAACTACATTTCACAAAATGTCCTCCAGAAACAAAATATGGCAAAATCTGGAGCAACAAAAACTGACAAAGCTGAATATTTCAAGATGGGGTAATTTTCTTTTTTCTAAGACTAACAGCATACACATTAAATATTTAGATGTAACATCACATGTCAGACATTATTCACATATCATGAATTACACATATAAAACTTTCTTCGTTCTGGCAAAGGGCAACAGTTTTACATGCCTTCCATGGCAGACATGCAGAGACTTAGTTGCCAGTATGTGCAGCCTTAATTAAGTACTAACTATCACAAAAAAGTAATATAACAGCCAGTATCATGAAATACAAGAAA